TCTGTAAAGGACCTCCGCCAGCTCCTGAGTTGAAGGCTTGACTGGAACAGGTGGGCATCTAATAGGTGACTAACGAATTGAGAGCTGGAAGGACTTCAAGGCAGGGAGCTTCGTTGGAGAAAGAACTTCACTTGGAATGTGCCTTGGGATGGCGTATCTTATCTTCAGACCTCTTCTCTCTGCCTGTTGCCCAGTCACTAAGGGCTAAGAAGAACTCTACTATGACAAGGAATTTCTCTGTCATGATGCTCTGTCACCACAGGCTTGTAGGAACGGAGCAGCTAAGAACAGAATGAAACTATAAGTCAAAATCTTCCTTTAGGCTGTTTTTCTTGTCATGTGACAAAAAGCCGACATAGATAGAGTGTTGTTTCTCTTGTGGTCTGTTCTGGCGTGGATATTGGCCTTGGTCCGGTTTTGTAATGTTAGTCCCAGAAGATACAGGAATTTAGATGCTGGAGGTGGAAGAAATCCCAGGATCATTTATTGACCCGGTTGACATCTGAGTGCACACGCCTGTCATCCATCTCCCATTGCCCCAAGCACCGCTGCTGCTCTCATCCACTGAAGACCTCTCCATCCTCACAGACAACGAGAGGGAAGCCAGTTCACAAATATGCTTCCCATCCACCCTTCCTTCACTTCAAAAATCACTCACTATACTGCTACCCTTTACATTGACCTATTTGCTCTTTTTATGTATTTCTGACATTCCTTTCTTAGAGAGTATTATCAGTATGAAAGAGTCCTACTCTGAGAAACACAATGTTTGGTAAGATGAGAGACATAGACAGAATATCACCACAATGCTGCTTTATGTAGAATTTGTGTTTGTGGACAGGGACGTGTTGGATAAAATCTTGACTCTAAGACAATGGTTCTCAACCTTCTTAGTGCTGTGACCCTTTAATACATTTCCTCATGTTATGGTGACCTCAACCATATAATTCTTTTCATTGCTACTTCATAACTGTAATTTTTATACTATTGTAAATTATAATGTAAATATCTGTGTTTTCTGATGGTCTTAGGTGACCCCTGTGAAAGGGTCATTCTACAATCCACAGGTTGAGAGCAGCTACTCAAGGAGAAGTGGCTGGGCTCAAACAGGTGCAGCAGCTTATGGGAGAAGTTAAGCTCTGACTCAAAGCCACCTGCCTGGCCTGAGCCCCATACTTGCTGCCTCCGAGAACGCTGGAGGCAAGTTGCTTAAGCTCTCAATGCCTGATTGTGCCATCTTTAAATAGAGGAGAAGATTGAGTCCCAACTCCTAGAGTTGGTCCAAGGGTGAAATGAGACCAGCGTTTCTGCGTAAGATAGTGCCCACGACACACGTGCTCTCCGCATCTGTGAATTGTCATCACCATGTGACTCCAGGCACATCACTTCATCTCTCTTATTATCCTCTTTGCCTCAGAGGAAAATTAAATGAATGATACTTTCTTTAAAACCTCATTGCAACGATTAATTAAGATAATGCGTATGAATACCAAACGCAAAGCCCGATACTGAATGTTCCCTGCACTCATTAGCATTTGTCATTGTTGTCGTGCATTTCTCCATTGCCACACAAGCATCCCTTGCTCAGCCACCCTCCCTCACCCCACAACAGACCTCACTGGATATGTTTACTTTGTTGGGTTTTTTCGTTGTTGTTGTTGTTGTTGTTGGAATATAGTTTACACTGAGTTTCCAGAGTGGGGCTTGGCGCTTTAAGGATAGGGGCCTGATGGTGTCTGTTTGGTGTAAGCTAATTTCCTGGTGAGATGCCGTGCTCCAAAATCACAGTAGTTTGCAGGCTTTGCTGAAGCACTACTGTTTGCACCAGGTGAGGAAATGCAGATCCAAGAGGTTAGTTCTGCTGCCTTGTGAGCAGGTGTGCCACAGAGTCCAAGCAGCAATGGAAGTGTGTTTAGCGAAGGCAGGGACTTTCCACTAGGAGTGAGTTTATCTCCCACCAGGAGATGTTCACGTAATCTAGAATCATTTCTTGGTTGTCACAACCGCAAAGATGCTGCTGTGTCTAGTAGAGGCTAGAAATGCTGTAAACAGTCTGCAAAGCACAGTGCAGACCCCACTCCTGCAGAACTGCTGACGAATAGATGTCGACTGTGTTAAGCTGAGACCCCCGAGACTAATGCTGACGTAAGCCAAAGCAGGCCCTGGAAGCTTGTACTGGATTTGGACCTGGGGATCATAACTAAGGTTGTTCCAAAGAACCTTATTTAGGGTTCTAGGGTGTTCTAGAATGGTTACCTGTGGAAATCCTCTGGGTGCTTTAAAAAACAAAACGAATGAACTCTGATTTTGTAGATCCACCCTCATTGATTTTGACTTCACCAATCTAGGCAGGAAGCCTCATGTGAGTTTCTGAACTCTACTGGAGTGCTCGTGAGTGGCCAATTTGTTGAACCACTGGGGCCTGAATGCTGCTAGAACAGAGAGAGCCCTGTTCCTTAAGCAGAAAAGGAAGGGCTGCTGTGGGTTTGGGCCAGATGTATTGGGAAGGAGTGGGGACTTGTCAGGAGAAGGGGCACAGAACTAGCTAGGGAAGAGGTAAACAGCCCATTGGAATGGCCCTTACAGAAGTAAGGCCATTTTTCAACTTCTGACCTGTTCCTTATGTGATCTGAGATGAGGAAGTTCTCCATGCCTCAGTTTCCCCTCCAGTCAAATAATGAGACATGATGTCTGCGGGTACTTACATTTGAGACTTACTGTTAGGATCCAATGAGGTAAATAAAACAACAATCACAACAATAAAGGAGTATAGCATCTGTCAGTGGGGGAGCAGCCCGTTACGTGGTTTAGCTTTGGGGGAAAAAGAAGTATTTCACAGCAGTAAATGTTTCAGATAACTGAAGTTTGGCCTTCTAAGACATGATTGTTGTATTTAAATCAACAAAAATAATTTAATTTTCTCTCTAATTTATGTCATTTGCAAACCAAGACTGTGGGTCATCAAAGTCCCCGCATCTTTTTTCACCATTGCAGCAGCCCTCGTTGATGTCAGACAGCTAATGACGCTGGAATTCCGTCACTCCCAGGGCTGTTGGGAAGCATGGGGTTTGGTGATGTCAAGATGAACTTTTGAGTTTTAGGTGTGTCTGTCTGTCGTGTTTTCTGCTTCTCTTACTATCTCAATATCAGCTAGAAAATCTGTCTGTTAACCAAAAGTCGCTTCCTAACGCACTTTTCTTACTTGCTAAGCCTGAAAAAAAAAATTAGAACTGTTGAGATGTTTGAACTAGGAGCTCGCCAGCTATCACAGAATAGAGCCATAGATAAGACCAGCAGTGGGGCTCTTCCTAGAAATGTCACCTGTGATGGTCATGTCCTGCAGATCCTGTGAGTTAGGACATACTGGAAACATGCTTCTGTGCTCCGCAGTGCATGCATTTTTCAGTGTGTGTCTTGATCCTTGCAGCTTGGTTTCTGTGTCTACTACTGGCCTGGACATCTAAGGCAGGAGACGGTTGCCCAGGTGTCACCTGAGAAGGGTCTGTAAAGAGCATCCATACAGACTTGTTTCATCCCCAGCACAGCTGCTGCACCTGATTCTAAAGCTATTGTAACTACTGTCTTCAGTCCCCTGATATGTCAAGCCTGGTGGGACTTCGGTCCCTTCAGCACTGGCCCTACCTCTGGCACTGAATGTAGTTCTTAACTAAGTCTCTATCATTCTACTTAGTAGTAAAGACTCAGGAGTCAGATGTTGGGATGAAAATCTGCTAGCTCAGAGTGGCCGAGAAGCAATCAGCTGGCCTTCCTTTTTGGCTGGAGACCCAGAAAGAGAGCATATCTCCACGCGTCCTAAACCTAAAAAGACTGTGGAATCTCTACGTCCCTCCCCACTCCTTTCTGTGCATCTCTCTATTCATCTTTCTGCCTCCTTCATACTCTCTATGGCTAATCCCTGTCAAGTAGTTGATGGCTCTGGCCCCAGACACAAGGTTGACTTTATTATTATTAATACAGTCTGAGGGTTTCAAAGTCCCAAATGTCCAGCAATACAGACTCTTAACTGACATGCTTCTAGCTACTGGCAAGAGAGATTTCTCTCAACCTATTAACCAGAATAATTTTTTATGCTGGTGAAACGTGATTAATAAAAACTCAAATTGATGTTGGGATTCAGCCTAAAGACCAGAAAGGCAAAGCAGTGAGCTGACCCTTACCTGGACCTCAGTCCAAAAATGGCGATTCTGCCTCCAGGAATCTCAGAATGAGACTGAGCTGTCTCCTGCCATTTTATAATCTTTTCTGGGCCTGGGATTAAAGGTATGCACCATTGGGATTAAAGGCAAGTACAACCCAGTTTCTAATACAACTAGTGTGGCTACTGGGATTGAAAGTGTGTGTTCCCACTGCCTGGTCTGTAAGGCTGACCAGTGGGACTGTTTTACTCTCTGATCTTCAGGCAAGCTTTATTTATTAAAATAGAAATGAAATGCCACTACATCCTGGTCATCATATCTTTTGAGTGCTTGTAGCCAAACAACAACAACAACAACAAAAATTCCAAAACCACTCTTGTTTGTAAAAAAGGAAGAAAGAGGGGCAGGCAGAATCAGATGGTAGGAGGCGGGCAGGCCTTGAGGCAAACAGAACAGGACAGGAAAATGGGGTTCTATGTGTAATACACAGGTCTAGCAAGAATGTGGCTATCCAGGAGTGTCGTGGGTTGCCTGCCTGTCATGAGCAAGCACAGGGCTCTACTTTCCATTCCTAGGACAAGGGGGGAAATGTTATGATTGAGAAGATGATGATGAAGGGAGAATCAGGAAAAAAAATCTCTTAGAAGGTACAAAGTGGTAGGCGGGTCAAGGACAGAGATTCAGACTTAGACTCTTTTTCAAGAGGCATGGACTCAACCGACACCGCTCTAAGAATGATGTCTACATGTGTTGTGACCACTGCAGGTGACAGTCTCTAAAACCATTCACACTTCTGGGACTTCCCATGGCTTCACTCAACCTGTTTCTCCCTTTCTTCCCCAGGTCGGTGTCGGGACTGGATAAGGAGGCAGACCTGGTGCACATGGAAGTGAGGACCACCGATGGATGTGAGTGCTGTGTTGGTCCCACTATGCCAGAGACCTGTATGAGGGCTCTCCAACCTGATTTGCATGTTAATGACTCGGGAAGATGAAAAGCCTCAAGCTCCATTACTGCTATACCCATTCCCATTTCCCAGAGTAGAGGAATTGACTTCTGGTCCAATGGGAGACTTTCATTGAAATGAACCCCTAGGAATGAACTTTCGGGGGGGGGGGGATTTAATGTGATGCATTGTGCTTCTCCTGTTAAAATTTTCTTATCATCTTTGAAGGCTGGTCTCCATAGCTCATTAGGGCATTTTATACTCACACAGCGGCTCTCAGGGGCCACTTGCTTTAACAAATGAACCCTTAATAAGGACAGGATTTCTAGAAAAAGTAACTGAGCAGTTATTTGCGAAAATAATGTTCATCTATTGGACCGAGATTTAAAGATGACCTACTATGTGCCAGGCTTTGTTCTTGACTGTGAAATACACTGGTCTTACAGTATCTGTGCAAACAAGAGGTTCTGTTATGACAATGGAACCCCAAGAATGCAAGAATTTAACCTTTGGGTTTTTTTCTTAATTTATTTGCTGAGAATTTCATATATGTATACAATGAGGTATCATATCTATTTCCCAGTTCCCTCTTGAGCTCCCCCTAGATCTCTCCTGACATACCCCCTTCCAACTTCATGCCTCTTTATTTTATTTTATAACTCACTAAGTCAATTTAATGCTGCTCATATACACATGGGCATGGAGCTATCCACTGGAACATGGGTGATCTACAAGTGACCACACCCCCAAAGAGAATGATTCCCTTGGCCAAGTGTCTATAAGCTGCCAGTGACTCTTCAATATGGAGTGGAGTGTGAACTGTCAGCCCTATTGTGGAAGAGGAGGCAAAAAGAATTTAGGAACTGAAGGATACAACCAGTGTTGTGAAATGTTGTCTTTAGTACAGGACATCACTGATGTACTCATGAAACCACAGGACGGATAGTTACAGTCACAGTCACAAGACCTGAAAAAGATCAACACAGAAAACAGCAACCTCATTGTAGCATGTGTGGCTGTATACATCTCACACAGAATTTGTGTGAAGCCAATTGTTATAAAAATTGCATTATTTGAGGCTGTAGCGGCGTAAATGAATGCAGACAAATTGTAAAGAATATATACAGCTTTAATGAAGAAATAGACTTACAGTACCACAGTTCCTGCAGAGAACAGGAAGCAGAAGGGAAGGGTGGGCACACACACACACACACACACACACACACACACACACACACACCCCCCGGCAGATTTATAGGTAATCATTAGCCCCAGGCAAACCCGCCCCCAATGGGCTGGGCTTAACCCTACATGAGGCTTCAGAGATGGTTGAGTGGTTATGAGTACTGACTGCTCTTCCAGAGAACCAGAGTTTGAATCCCAACACCCATATGACAGCTCATATAGATGTAATAACAGTTCCAGCGATCAAATGCTCTCTTCTGGCTTCCATGGGTATTCAACATATATGATATCTATCTATCTATCTATCTATCTATCTATCTATCTAATAAATCTGAAAAAGCCTTTATAAAAATTATAATACTTAACTTCCCAGAATTTGCCATACATGTAGTGCTATATTTTCAAAGGAAAAATAAAGCCAACTTAGATGAAAATATATTTTATCCTAATACACAAGATCTTCTAGGCTGGAAACAGATGCGAACATCTAATCAAAACCCAACAGGACAAGCGTCTGCCTGTGAGTTGGATCCAGGATTCTACTGCCTTTTTTGCTGTGAGAACAGGGGAAAAGAATCCTAATTCCCCTGTGATGTCCTCTGAAACACAATATTGCCCATTTCCTGTTCAGCTCAGCAGGTTCCGGGTTGACCAATAGCAGAGGAAGTTGTAGAACCCATGAAAGGACCAGAACTTGTGAGCACGTCCTGCTAGGACCCACTACACCATCCAGAAGGCATTACATTAAGGGAAACTGAATGTGCCTTCTGCCTTGTTTAGAAATTAGTTGACCCTGGACAGAGTTTTTGTCCTTACTGTGATACCTCCTCTATTGCTTTATGTCGCCTTAATCAATTTGTTAACAATGGACTTCTTGTGGAGCATAATTGGCTGCTAGGCAGATTTCAGTTCTGCAGACAACAAACCCAACAATGCCACGGGTGACTTCATGTCATATTGGGCTCTTCCTCACTGATAACTGCCAGGCACAAGCTAGAAAGGGGTTCTGTGAGGACATGGTGGCAAGGATAACTGGACATTGTCAGACATTTTTAACTGTCTTCACATTCCCAGAATTTCTAGAATCCGAACTTGTACAGCTTGTGCCACCATCTCTTGTCCCCGTGAAATTGTTAAGCCTCATTATTCAGTAACTTGTAAGCCATTCTAAAGCCCAATACTATTTTATTTTTAAGCTCAAGGACAATTTTAGAGTTGAAAAGTAAAACTCCCAGGGCAGGCGAGCTATCAGTCTCAGCGACTGCCGGGAGGTGGAGGACAGAGGTACAGAGGAAGGATGCCGTACTGTTTAAGCCAGTGTCGACTTCAGGGAGCAACATGGTGGGGAGGGGGACTTTGGAGAAAAAGTAAAGAAGCCCAAAATATCAGAAAAACATACCTAGATTCTGGGTAACATCTAAATAAAAAGAGACAGAGAAAGGGAAAGTTGTGACTTTCCACCCCAGGCTTCAGGAGGGTGGGCAAACCTGGCTGGGCCTCGCAGTGGCTCACAGTGACTGCCCTCATGAGCTGGGGTTCTGGGAGGCAAAAGTACAGTCTCCTATTAAACTCAAAGTGATTCTGCTCATACCTTTAGCATGACTTAATGTGAGCCTGCCTACCTAGGTTTGGTTTTTGGCCAGGTGGTTGACCTGGACCAGCTGGAATGTTAGGTCTCACCCAGGCCAGAGAAGCAGAAGGAACTTTCCCTTAATGGAACTGTATGCTACTCTAACGTTCTCCCTTCTGATGGGGTAATCCTAGTTGATGGGGTGGAGCTGGGTGATGGCTTAGCTGGCTTCTTCCAGCTGAGTGGCGACATTGAATGATGTAGTTGGGCTAGCCCTCCAATGGGCCTATCTAAAAGACTTCAAAGTGTATCAGTAGTTTCATTTGTATAGCAGCCAGGTACAGTGAGTACAGGAAGTCTTTTACTGTACCTGGAAAGAGACGTGGTGGAGGGGAATAGAGGCAGGAATTATAGATCACTGAGTCTTAGAGCTCCACTACTCTCTAGATACTCAGAGGCCAAGATGAAAAGAAGAGGCAGCTCAGTCACTGGATCTGTAGACGAAGGGCGTTTGCTTCAATTGCAGTGGGTATGATGAAACTCTACTTTATATTTGGGTACACAGTTTTATTTTATTAAAAATATTTCAGAATTATTTTAAGATGTTTTTAAGAGTTGTTTTTTCAGCATCGTTTTCTAAGTTGTCAACATATAATAACATGCGCGGGTCTAAACTGGAATTTAGGTACTCATTTTTTCCTTCTGTGTCCCAAATACATAGTACGTAGGATCACAGATTTTTATCAGTTATTTGAGCTCAGACCCCAGCTTGTCATTCGCCTAATGTCTCAGCTATGGAACATAGGGAAATCTCTCAATCAGCTGGCAACTTAGTGAAGACATTAAAAACCTGGGGTGGTGATAATGATGTATTGAGGGTTACAGCTCCTTGTAGTATTATTCCTTATTGCTGTAAGATTTAAATAAGTGAATGTACACAATCCTAAAATATTTTCCAACTGAGAATGAACACTCTAAACTACTGTTTTTGTCATTGTTATCACCATGATCACTACCAGCATCGCCTCCTCAATCCTCATCACCACGACAACTATCATCAGCACCACCATCATTATCGGCACCACCTCCAGCATCATACAACCATCATATTCAGAGATAGACTATTCCATGAGAATTAGAAAGAGTTCTCAATGAAGTCCTTCAAGATTGCCATGATGTTTGAATGACTGTAACTTGTTCAGCTTGTCCCCTGTGCCATGCAAAGGCAGAGATGGCTGGAATTTTTCTGTATTAGAAGTTTCACTAAAGCTTGAAAGTCTTAAGCCCACCAGAAGAGGTGGGAACTCCCTGTTTTTGTTTAGTTTTAGTATCCACTGTGCCTCTTATGCTAAATTAGGCCTTTCCATCAATGTCACGTCCTTTGATTTGCACTTCCTATAAGTAGGTTAGCTCCACTTTCCAGTCAAGGACAAATAGGATTAGAGAAACTAAAGGAGTTTCCAGAGTCCCCTTGAATCTGCTTATTTTTATGTGTTTGCATTTGAGAGTAATATTGTTATTTAAAATAAACAGCTCTTGGGTATTTTTCACGAAAAGACCTGAAGAGCTGAATTTGCTTTTTGTTCAAAATTTTAATCCACTTTTTCAACTTCTGACAATATGTATATTACCCAGAGGGATGGAAGTTGAGCGAATCATGGAAAGTTCTTTTCTCTGAGGTGGCAAGAGGCTTGATGTTTAGGAAGTTTGAATATTTAGTAATCTCAAAGGCAAAGTGTAATCACAAGCCACTATATAGTTCAGCATAACGAAAATGTATAGGCTTTTAATAGAATTCAATTCTGTTTAAGTACTGCTTAGTGCAGTTTTAGAAAGTCAGCCAAAGAAAGGAAAAGATGCTCACAGCCATAGGCTGCTCTAAGGAGGTAACTCTTTTGGAAGAGCCCGGAAAAGCCCACACTAGACTTTACTGTGGCATTTCTCGGTATAGAGGAGAAGCTCACCTTGCTGAATATGGAAAGATAAAAGCAGTCTCCCTGAGCCTTACACAGCTCCTGGCAGGAATGCAGCCTCCTCAGAAAGAAACAAGGCTCTGAGGGTGTTAGACTACCTCTCTGCCCAAATTCCTGGATGCTTGTGCACAAATCCAGGGCGCATTCATTTGTGAATATGCTGTCTCTGCCATTGGCCTGGAAATCCTGGAGAAGAGGAACTCATGTTTTCTGTTTCCCAGAATAGCAGCGAGTGGCTGACACCTGCAGCTTCCCTGTGTACCTTGGTTGGGTACAAAAGAAATGAGTGAATCCATCTAAGGCAGCCCTTCACACCACAAGAAGCTCTTATGCTGTAGGTGAGGATGCTTGGAGACTGGCCCAGCCTGGCATAGGAGAGGCCTTCCCTAAACATCCTGCTATAGTACCTACAGATACTTGGAGATGGGACCAGGTATTCCACAGATACCAAGCAGATCCTTCTATTGTACATATACTGTACATTGTACATATACTTCATATTGCTCATATTACAGAGGACACACTGCTTGACTGTGACTTTTAGTTAATGGAGCAGTCACCACACCAGCTCTTAGGATGCACAACAAAGATGTTTTTACATTTAGAAGTATGTTAGTCAAAAGCATTCACCGTTGGGAAAATCTACCTGGTTTTCTCATGGGGGTATATAAATGAGGTGTGTGTGTGTTGTTGCTGTTTTTCACTTAGGAGTGTTTCAAATAAAGAACAGAAAACTTAGTCTCAATAATAATGGTGTGATCCAGTCTGTCATCCATCACGCATGATTGACAGAATGGGTGAGAAGCATTGCCTACACTGGAGTCCAACGGAATTTTTCAGTTTTCCAGGATTCCTTCTTCACATCGCATTACTTTCCCATCCACAGGCTGAGCTCAACACCACGCCCCTCTCTTTTTCTCGTTTTTCTCCATGAAAGGCATGCATTTTTCTCTCGTGCATCTCCCTAGCACTTAAAGGATGTCCATATCAATATAAACTCAGGATATGAGTTTACATGTTTCATCCCTGACAGTGGGACAGAGGCGTCTTTGCTATGACTGGAGTATATAACCAAAGCTCCTTTCCGTTTTCCTCGCAGTCAAATATAACTGGCATTTATCAGTTTTAAAAATTGTGTTCAACGATATGGTAAGCATTTTAGTGCATAATATACTGAATCCTGGTAACAATCTTATATTGTTGACCACTCCCAGATGAAATGCGCTCTTAATCATCCAGGGGAAATTAACACTAAGCAAGTCCAGGATTTGGACTGGCCATGCCCTCAAGTGTTACATGGCGATCCATTAATCTAAGTCTCTACTGATGTCTGGTACCTGGTACTATTATAGACAAACAAGCTGATAGGGCCAGGTTATCAGAAGCTTTTTTGAGATTTTCAAGTGTATGGTAAGTGTCCTTTTGGATTTCAGCATAGAACTTTTACATATAGTCATATTTATCCTTATTTAGTGAGTCTATCATTATACTTCCAACTTGAGATCTACAGAACCCGAGACAAACGGCATTTCTTGCTCATCCTTGACACCCAAAACTCTTGCTGTAAACCCTCCATCATTTCTGCTTGGTAGCCAGGACTGCGTGATAATTCTCCATTCTCTCCCACTGAGTCTCATCAGGTGGTGGGAACAATGGCGCTCATTATTGTGTCTTTGGGTTTTGGAAAATCAAGGCATTGAGACTTCTAGTACACGAGTCTGGCTAAAGATGGCAAGGTCTCTGAATGTTAAGTGGATTTCAGCAACTCATTTTTGTGCTTGTGTCCTGCTAAATTGAACCTGTCATTCCATGTAGCACAGTGGCAAGCGGAGCCAGAGCCAAGAAGTAGGATGCGTTTGGCACTGTCTCCTGCTTGTCACAGGCCAAGGTTTGGGTAGGTGTTGATTTTGTTTAGGGTGGCCTTGAAAAGACTTGATTCTTCTTTCAGGGTGTTCAGATGGAAAGAGCATAGTAAATAGCCAGGGAAGAATGAGCCTCTCCATGAGTAGAAGCGAGTGTCCCTCCCACGTGACCCTTTCATTACCCGTGTGAAGAGCTTTCTGAGACACGGTTGACAAGGACACAGGTTGTCATGCTGGCATTTGTGATTTCTTCACATGTGTTTACTGCCGCCTTTTGCTGTATTTGGATGCTTTATTTAAGGAACAAATTAGTGAGCTTGTATGTGTGCAAGCAGATCCCTGGTGGGCAGACCCTTTGCTCCAAAGCACAGCCTGGGAGCCTGGTCTTCTCCTCTCTGCTCAGCAGGAAGTGGGACACCAGGCCACTCTTGGCTTCATGTACAAACAAAAGCAAAGGAGAGGAGACACTCAATGCACCCTCCAAAGTACTGGAAGCCTGATCTTCCTCCAGGGTCAGGGTCTAGGGCTTACAAAAATGCCTGTGTCCCTCATGAGGTGGCCTGGGATGCGCGAAAGAACCCAGGTGGGAAGGAAGTCACTCTTGGGTCGCATTTGGACTGTAGTCTTGTTTGTTTAGCTACACAAAGTGGTTCTGTACTACACCTGAAATTTAAATTACCTGTCAAAAGCTAAAAATCAGAATATTTTGCATTAAAAATAAACAGGCAGCTTTCCTTAGAAATCCAGAAGGTCTCAACGCCAGCTTGCCTAGAATGAACTAGAGCCAAGTATTTTGAGAAAGGGTCTCATTAAGACCTGTACCAGCCTTGAACTTGTGATCTGCTTGCCTCAGCCTCCTGACTATCTGAGATCATAGGCCCGAACTGTCATGTCAGAGCTATACTTATAGATTGTTGATGATCGACCCCCCCAAAACAAACTTTCTTTGTTATTTTAACATTAAAGGGAAATTAAATATAAATAAAAAATCTTTTCTACTTTTAGTTTTAAAGAAATCTACTTTTTATTTTTATTTTATTTTAGTTTTACCTTAAAATTCCATAAAATGAACAATAACCATGTTTAAGGCTATTTATAGGTTGATGTCTTCAGAGTAACTCTTGTAGATTTTTTTGAAGGAGAAAGAAATTGAAAACATTGTTTTCCTGGATGGCTCTATAGTCATGTGTAGATGCTCTTAGGAGTCAGAAATTGTTATAAATGCAGATTTACTTTTACAAATAATTATACAATTTTCAGGTAAGTAGTTAGTGAATGTATTCTTGTTGCAAACATAATAAGGATGTATATTATACAAAAATCAAAGGCAATATTATAATATAATATAATAATTTAAGTTCATTCCATTGCCAAAGTAACCATATCTAATGTTCATGTGAGGCCTTGAAATCACTCCTCTATAACTGTAGCACAGAGCTGTGTACCTAAAGACATATTTTAAGTCATAAAAACTAGGTTTTACTTGTGCACGATAGGATTTGCATTTTCAAAAGTTTGGAAAGCAATGCACATGAAAAACATCTGTTGGCACATATGTAACTACCAAATCTTTCAATCGCAGCATGACACTCTATCATGTGTTATATCTTAGCTCATTCAAATTTTCCTTAATTCGTGGACATTTGGCTTATTTTCAGTTCTTCTTTGGTGTAGATGATAACGTCACAGTGAATATTCCCACCACTCCTTTTGTAAAAATATCTGAGACTTTCTGTAGAAACGTTCCTTGAATTAAAATTAGTGGTGTAAAAAAACATGTGCATGTCAATTCCTGATAATGTCTTCAAAAAACTAAGTGAATTTATTCTTTTACCAGTAGTAAATGAGATTAACTCTTTCCCCAGCCTCTTAACTAACCTAGGAATTACTCCCATCTGGGGAGTAGTAACTTCAATTTTTTTTGTATAAAAAAGTAAGAACTCATTATTGTTTTAGAAATCACTTGTCTGTGCTTCCCCATAATGTCTATCTTTGTGTGCGTCTAGGGCCTTGGCTAGTCATTTACCCTGCTGCTAAGTGCCACCCTGCCTTCTCTTTCAGATGCCCACTACCTCACCTGCAGGATCCAGGAATGCGCTGAGACAACTCGAAGCGGCCCCTTTGCTCGTTCCATCGACATTAGTTCCCTGGTCGTCCAGGATGAATATATCTTCATCCAGGTGAGCATTCTTAGTGCAGCTGGTGGTAGGAAGGGAGACAGAGAGTGGCTGCCTGCTAGAACACAACAGTGGCTTTCCTGAGGATATGAAGACGTGGAGCAGGGACATTGTCCTTTACTCTGTGGTGCTGGGCACTAGAGCGACTCCAGACTGCACTTTGTAGGTTTTCCGGGTCAGTGTTCTACCCTTTGGACTTTTCTTACCCAGGGAATTCTTCAGTCAGATTGCCACTTCACGGTAACAGAGCTGTCTTGAGATGGTTAGGCTGGGGTTGGAGGTTATTAAGAGTCAAATGTCTAATGGGCTTTGACTTTAAGTAATTTATCAAAGTCATGTTCTATTTCTGTCTAAAGTGGCTTGTCTAACTTGGAAGTGAAATCCTGCAATGAATTAGACATCCCCAGATTTCGCTTTCTGGAAAAGTCTAAAGCTCACCAAGTTGCCCCTTCCCCTTCCTGAGCTTAATACTTTTTAGAATGTCCAACGCTCAAGTCTTTTCCTGCAAGAAGTCGACTGTTAGAGGAAACTAAATGAAATCTTTGAGTTTTGCAGTGTCCACTTTGTAGTTCTAGGAGATACAAAATAGAGGGAACATGTGGGAAAGTAAAAGGCAACACTCCAAAGGAAGAGAGAGAAAGAGATATGGGTAGGTAAATGGTAGATGACAGATAGATAGATAAATAGAGATAGATAGATAGATAGATAGATAGATAGATAGATAGATAGATAGCTGATAGACTGATTTATTAAACTTGACATTTGATGGCAACCTCTAGTTTCCCAACCTACTTTTCCATTGCTTACTCTAACTTGTTTGACAAATGATTTCCCAAAAGAAATTCAAACTTTGACCTTACCCTGAGTTTGCTCCTAAATGAACTTTTCTGCCTGATCCTTAGCCTCTCAGTCCCCATCAATGGCATCTCCTCTGTGAGCATGCATCTTATAGCTCCAGATCATGATCGCTAGCCCATGAATTATTAGAGTTCTCTTTTACCAAAGTGAACAGATTTCTCTCCTTTCCAAATCAAATTTTGTACACTGGAAGGAAGAACAATATTTTAAATTCTTACGTCTCTCACCTTTGGCCCTGCAAAATTTTAATGCAAGTGAATATCTGTTGTGTTGATAGAAACTCAGGAGAAGTAGCCTGCCACCCCAAATCAACTTGAAAGAGTGGAGAAGTCAGCATCTCAGGATTGATTTTCAAAGTCATGGGATATCAACAACATTGTCTCATTCATGGGTGTTCACTGAACACAAACCCTGCAAAAATATGCAACGCTAGCTACTACTCTTGGTGTTTTCCTTGACCCGATGCATTTGGCTGCCAGGACCTACTGCCTGGGCACTCCTGTGGGGTTCAGCACTGTCTCCACATCCCGATGCCTTCAGGTCCGTGAGCACCTCCATCAGGTGCTATAGGTGCCTGTGCTCAATAGCTCTCGCCACACCCCAGCTGACATCTCAGTTCCGGTTCACTTGGGGCAGAACCTAGCATAGCCATAGCCCTTACTCTTACCAAACTGAAGGAATCTGCATCTTGTTTGCCGCATCTTTGGCTTGAATATTTACTTCCATCCCACTCCCGTTGCCATTGTCCCCACATAAGGTGATTTTTTTCTTTATCTTTGCTGAAAATTTTTAAACTTGGGAGCATGAGGTGATTTATGAATTTACCAAACTGACTGTCCTTTCTTAATGCTAATGCTGTGTATAATGAATGTGGCTGGACTGTTTTTGGAAACAAGCCTTCAAACTTAGTCTCCTCTGCCCAATGTGTCTTGTAATGTATTTTGTAACTTTTCAGGTAGATACACAATTTTATTAAAAAAAATTATAAAACTATTCTTCATTATACTATAAGCAAAGATTTTTTTAAATTAATCATCCTAAATCTTCACTTTGCTTAAAAGAGGTGAGGCTGTATGCAGTTTTCAGTAAGGTTTGATTCATTGTCAGGTACATGTGTGGTCCCTCCTCGAGCTGCTGGGGCTAAGACAAAGAATACAGGAATTTCTTGAATTATTGGAATTATTTTTTGTGGGAAACACATCACCTGCACACATATACGGGGGGGATGTTTTAGGGTTCAGCAGTTTCTCAGGCTCTGGTTTATCCCACTTATCTGTTTGACTTTTCTATAAAAAGAAGTCAGCAGTAGCGCCCACACCATGGGTTGCATTAGGACTCTGCTATGTCAAGCACCACACTGATGCAGGAACAGTGGTGATCTATGAACACGTACCATGCCTTTTATCTTCCACTATAAGCTCATTTCTCTATAACGTGTGTCACATGACGGTGGATACTATGGATAAAAGTAAGCCAGGGACCAGATGTTGGGATACATTGCTGTTGAGTTCTAGGACTTGATGACTTGACCTGGGGCAGAGGGATAGGAAACAAACAGCTAGATGTGTTGGGCCTGGCTTCCTTGAACCCTGCATGGAGGGGTAAAGTGGGAAGCCAGAGATTCGATGTGATGGGCATTAGGGCTACTATGGCTGCATATACAAATTGAAAGGTTGCATGCTATATGTGATAATATTTGGAAACCATAAAGAAAATCAAAGGAGTAAGAAAAGACTGGAAAGAGAAAAGATCCAACCGTTGGTCCCCAGAGCACACCCATATTGACATTCAGGAAGATGAGAAGGAGCCAGCCAATAGGACCACAGCTAGGAGTTGAAAGATAATGGCACAGAGGTGGTGGAGTGCTCTGTTGCTTGATTCAGTTTTGCTCACAAGGCAAATGGCAACACTGAATTTCTTCAGCCACCAAATAGACATAGGTTAAGCACTACTCCTGACTCCATCAACTATGGAAAACTGAAGTTATAGAGGGTGCCACCAGCCTACACTCAAGCTCCACGCAGAGCAGACCATGTGTCAAGGGCTTTCCCACTGGGACTTGGTCAGCCCTTCCCCGCCGCAGGAGTTGTGCCACTGGCCTCTTTAGAAATGACACATAAGCCTTGCTTCTGCCAGTGGGTGCTCAGGGTGTAGTTATGGTGGCTTAAGACTCTCGTTATTATGGTTTGCCTTCCTTAATTTCCCGTCTGTTCTTTTCATAGAGCTGAATATTTTAATTTAAATTTTAACTTCATAGTTTAGGGATATAACTGTGTACAGAATACCCAAAGTTCTGTTTTTGGGCAGCCTCTTTTGATTTCTTCTTGTGAGTGATGACAAAGCCAGTATGCTACCTGCATTTCTGTTTTCCCTCTTCTCATTAGTCCTTCCACCTCTCACTTCGAGTTGGTTACTGAATTTTCTAGTCTTTGCCTTACTGCCTTAGCATGTGACTTTGGTAGACTTAAATATTTTGTGACGCACTGTGGACAAGGTGTGAAATGGGCTGTGTAGTGACTTCCTGCCATGTTCCCTTTCAAAAGGATAGCTGCCTTTTGAGTCACTTAACACATGCACATTCTCCGGTGCCCCCCCCCCCTTCCTGCATTGGTTTTTATCTTGGCTTTATAGGTGGATTTATTTACCTTTCCTCATCAGGCTTTGAGGAAAGCTTCCTCATTTAGCTCTCAGTTGTCTGTTTTGTCCTTTGATGGAGGTTTTGCAAACAAGTAATTCTTGCTTTCTCGAGGTCTACAAAGCACGCGCTGAGATCTTCCCCTGTGAACTTGGCTTGTTGAGCACCTGACTATTGCTGGGTCAGGGCAATCTGTGGTTCCCTTCTTTGAGATGTCTTGTTGTGTTTTTCCTGGCTCTCATTTAGGGCGAGGAGTGCCACTTTGTTTATTTTTGCTAGCCCCTCCCCCTGGAATTTTTCATCATATTTTTTGACCAGTTACATGTTTGTGTATGCCTTGTGGTCACCATACTCTTTCATCCCCGGAAATGTGTCTCTTTCATTCTAATGATTCAATTTCTTCATTTTTATTATCGTAAAAGCTCCTTTACGATATCTTGAAAGACATATTTCACTTCACTTTCATGGTTTGGGTGCTCTTCCTATAGGACCCAGAATGTGTGAGACTAAATCGTCAGAATGAAGACAGCATTTCATCCCGCCCCAAATTTGACCAAAATGAGATAAAACAGTTTTGTACTGTGCATGAATCAGCATTTAGAGGGCCGTTCTGTCTAATTTTCCTGGTTTAACTTCTTAATTTGATCAGATTATATTTTAACTTCTCTGCCTCCTCTGTCTCGTCCTCTGCCAATGATATCAATAACAAACAATCCCCCTTCCCCTCCTTGTTGTGTGTCCCTTGCCTCTTCAACTTCTGTTTAAAACTCTTCTCCACTGACGTGGTCTAAATGTACAGGTTACTTTGTGTGTGTGCTCATGTACAATACGTGTATGAAAATACAGATGTGTGTGCATGGATTTGGAGGTCAGAAAACAATGTCAGGTATCAGATATGTAGTGTTTTACTTGCATCTATGGATATGTACTGTCTGTGTGGCTGCCTGGTGCCTGCAGAGGGTCTCGGATCTCCTGGAGCTGGAGTTACAGGCGGCTGTGAAATACCATGTATGTTCTCAGAATCAAACCAAGCTGCTCGGGAAGGGCAATCGGCGCTCTCAACTGCTGAGCTATTTTTTTTTTCAACTGTCATACAGCTGTTTTTTAATTACAGAAATGTGGCTACAATTGGTTTGCTTCCTGGAATAATCACTTTTTAATATTCCTGATATTTCTTTTCTGTCTCTTTCTCTTTTTTGTTTTATTGAATCAGTTCATCATTCTTATACCATTTTTTCATATTCTCTTTAATACTTAAAATTTTGTATGTGCAGGCATTATTGTCTGCATGTATATCTGTGTAACCACTTGTGATCCCAATGGAGGGCAGAAAAAATGTTTAGGGTACTCTAGAACTATAAAGAAAGGTGACTGTAAACCACCATGGCTGTGGGTTGCTGGGAATCAAACCCTGGTCCTCTAGAAGACCAGCCAGTGCTCTTAACTACTGATCCAGCTCTCCAGCCCTGTATCTTTATATTTTTAATTATTGTTTATTTTTTAATGACCT